TTTTCATATATGGAGAACAGTTTAAAGTTTGGTGGGACACTAAAATCATATACTTACCCACAAGGTCTATGCAGAGGCCTTCATTGCACCTGAAACCCGCACAGCAGGCCTCTACAGGTCCACACTAAAACATTGATACAACATAGATACACAAATAATCTTGATATTCATATACATCATTACTAAAACCCCTGCTTAGTTGTCATGATTTAGGGTATTTTTTTTACGCAACCCAAATAATTACAATTATTGTGAGACACTAGTGATAAAACAATCTCATATGTTGGTATCCCTCTTTTTCCTTACAGTACTTCATTGCTGTTCACCTAATATGCATTGTTGCATAGGAAAAGGTTTAGTGATATTAACAATTTATTGTATATAAATCTCAAGGTTTTCACGCAAGCACAAACAGAATATGTGCTGCAAGTTAACATTCTTTTTTATAGGTTTTCTATAGATTCGCTTTCTTTAAATTTTGACAATTCTATGATTAGTGCATTTGTTAGATACTGGATTCACATTAATTTTAAACTGTTCATGGTATAAAACCAATGATTTAATATACTGTATATACTGTAATGCGTACTATTGCTAATGGGACCTGTGTATTGTTCTTGAACGGTGTTGTTAAATAGTACCTCAAAGTACTTGTTATATTTGGGTTGTGTTAAAACACAACAGCCTGAATAGTGATCATTACATCATTATGCCAAGTCATTTATGTTTACTTTTTGTTAGGTACACAATTCTGTATATTCTAACCTGAATCAATCAATCAATCAATCTTTACTTGCCGTAAGGATGCATAACATTTTATTGACAAAGTAAGGATTTACAGTTTTCTTTACGTTTTTTTTACAGTTTTACATAACCATTACAGTTATATTAACTGCCATATTCTTATAGGCAAAATAATTTACAACACGAGTGTAAAAGAAATAAGCATTCGCCAAAGGCCTAGTATCAACTGTCCAAATAAATACAGTCCAGTTTTGTACAATAGCACTACTTATTTTTCTCAAAACCAATCTTACTGATATAGCTTCAGAGAAGATCTTAATTATAGCTTCAGAGAAGATCTTAATTCCAATTATAAATCAATACACCGAGAGATAATAAGAGTAGCAATCAAACGGTACTTACGACATCTGTGGAGCAAGCCCCTAAGCCATATCCGTTGGCTAACTCAAAGCCCCCGGGAAAGTCAAATGATGTGAGGTACTGCGGGGCTACGAGCGAGCTGTGTGAGACCAGTAAACCTCAAACCAACAGAGACTATTAGCAAAACATACAAGAATACCATGGTTCATCGGCGGTGGGGGGATGGTTTCCCCCCGAAATATCAGGTTGGACCCTAATGCTAAGAGTTTTGTTAAAATGCAATACAATATTTTAAGAGAGTTCCACCCGCAGCTGTTTACCACATACACATGGTCCTACAAGAAACTCCTGGCATTATTCAAGTGTTTATCGAGTTGAAATGAACTGTAAAATATTCACAAAGATCCAAACTATACACTGGCTGAACTGAAATCTCCTAATTGTTTCTTTAAGTTATAAAATCATTTTGAAAATCCGTAAATTAGTCTTTTTCACATGCAATTTTAACTTCTAAACAATAATTAAAAATTATTTTTGAGCCACCCACTGCAAGCTCTGATGTGTTAAGGACACGACAAGCACACAATCATTGGGAAGAAATTAGTTTTAGAATGTTGAGAGCTTGTACCATAGAGGCATATTGAGGAACATTAGCATGTGTAGCCTAGCCGCCATCTTGAATTGACCGGGTAGAACCCTCTGAACCCAGCTGAAATGTAACTCAAAACCGTTTAACCGGGTAGGATGATGACAATTTTGTAGTTACCAATTATTTAGTAGATAGTTGGTGGTATAAAACTGATCTTTAATAAACATTGATTCCATGGTTAGAGCATAGGTCATGATGAACAAATTTGTGTTTGTGTATTTTGTATTGTTAACTTAAAAGCAAGTAGGCAATTCGTTACTATTTCAAAATACTATTTTGCAATCCATGAATGGTTATGAAGTATTTATATATATCATTTTTACTGGAGTTGGTTTTTATTTCTACCGAAAGGTTTTTGATTTTTAGTTGCAAATTTTAAATTAAAAAACAATTTATGTAGTTTATATTTAGAACTGGATGCCAAAATAGAATTTTTTGATCTTAAGAATTTAACGTTATTGTAAATCTACATTGTCTAGCATAAACTGTTTACTGATAACCTAAATTATAATATTTAGGTATATCACAATTTCTCAAGATGAGGATGAAAAATAAGATAGCTAAATTTTTCTGACTCTGAATTCTGGTTGGGAATATTATTGAAATGGATTTCAAGTGATATATTTTAGTGCACAAATACGTAACTTTTTTACAAAAATGTGTTTGTTGTCAAACATGATTTCATGGTTGCAAGAGCACAGATTAATTTTAGAATTCCTTAAAAAAAATTTTGTACTTTTTGAATTGAAGTACTTGTAGTACTAAGTGTACTCAACAAAGCGCAAAAAAATAAGGTTGAAAATTCTCTATTTCTTATACTAATCTAATCATAAATATTTTTTCCATATAAGGGATATAAAGTAATAAAATATTTTTGAAACATTAAAATTTATTAAAGCAAGTTAGAAACTTGTGGATGAAAAAATATTTTGGTCTAATTGCACAACTTTAAATTGTATCGACTCTTTTCATCATTTCCCTTAGAAGAAATTCATTAATAAACATTTTTATTTATAAAAACTATTATGAATCCTGCAAGCTACACAAAAAAAATGATCTATAACCAAACTGAAATTAGTAAACCATAGTTTTCAACAGCTATTGATAGTTTATTTGATATGTTTGTCCGTGGAGATCTCCACTTGCGACTGAACTATGCTAACACTGAATTATGCTAATTAGATTAGGATGGGATTAAAAATATAAAAAATAGCTTACCTATCACTAAAACATGAAATCTGTCCCACATGATGACGGGGCACCATTGACAATAATTATTGACCCAAAAGATCCCTTATCAGCTAATGTTTTATATCACCCCTTTATCAGTCGTAATTTATTGAACAATAAACACAGAGGTAAACAGAAGTTCTTGATTTTATCATAAATGAAAGGAGCCCGAGCAAACATACTTCACATTTGCTCAGTATTCTTCGTGACAAAATGTAAAGCTAAACAAATATGTTGGTAAAATTAAAAATACTGTGACTGAGACAAAAAGGTTGACAGCTGAGCCATCAGGTATAAAATGTGATTATGTTATCCAAACAATTACTTACCAATCTTATATACTAAAAGTCTTTTTGCAAAACTTATGGCAGCTCAAATTAAAATAGGCTCAAAAATAGGCAATAAAAATAAATTTTAAATTAAAAAAAATTAACATGGGCCCTGTGGGTTGCTGTATTGGTGACGAAATAACAACAAAATATGATTAGAAAATAAAAACAAATTAAAGAAATTCCAATCACATGTTTTATTTACAGCGTGAGTTGAAAATAGAGAAGTTTGCACAATACATACTTTTGGTCAAGTTTTCAACCTCAGGGCGAGCTCTCATGTAAATATAAGTATGATGTTCAAAGACTTGAAAATATGTTCACAGTTCAAATTTGAAGTCTGCTGGTTCGATCCTGAATGAAATTGATTCTGAACCAAGCTGCCATTTGTCAAAGGTCTATCAATTACTGTTGCTATTTAACAAAAGGTCAATGTTATAAAGTACCAAAACCAAGACCTAAACCCTTGAAAAAATTTACAATATGAAAAAAATCTTAATGATATACACATTCTGAACTGATACATGCTCCATCCCTTTCACAGAACAGCTGTAGTCTTTGTAAACTACCAAGGGTCGTTTTGACAGTAACAAGGTAATTTTAACACCTATTAGCTAATTCAGGTGATCCAAAGGTCATTCATCATGGAGGTTTTATCAGTTGGGAAAATTTGATAGTGTAAAACAGCCATATTAATGATGTCCAAGTGTAGGCCTAATTTAGCGTATCTTCTCACTTGATTCTTCTGTCTGCATATGCACTTGGTACAACATCGTAGGTACAACTTGGTGCATGCAGATGGAAGAATCAAGAATGAATATATGCCATCTATCGAGCGCCGCACGGAGTTCATCAGAGACCATCTCTTCAAGTTTCTTTGAAAAAAGACAGTTTTACTTTTGGATCTATAGCGGAGTTTTTCCACAACTGGATTGTAGGTGAAGACAAAATGTATGCTCGATTTTGAGGTGTATTCTTATAATATTTTCTGTGATATTTTTCATGAAGTTGCTTTAAATTACAGTATAGTAAATTTATGTTTTTAGGAAAAAGCATTTAGCTTGGATTAAATAAATATATAGGATGGAGAGGACACAGCTAACTCACCTGATGAAAGGTTGCAGACGAGTCAAAGAACACATAAAACACACACATAATAATACTTGATATTTCGCCTCTTTCAGAGGCTTCTTCAGAAGTAGGCCTAGATGGCAGTTACAAGATGTTCTTGTAATTCTTCTTCAAGATTGTTCTTGTAACTGCCATCTAGGCCTACTTCTGAAGAAGCCTCTGAAAGAGGCGAAATATCAAGTATTATTATGTGTGTGTTTTATGTGTTCTTTGACTCGTCTGCAACCTTTCATCAGGTGAGTTAGCTGTGTCCTCTCCATCCTATATATTTATTTAGTATAGTAAATTTGTGTTGTTCTTAGTTTTGGTTTAACGTCTTACATGAAGATGTAGCAATGACAAGGATTAAGTACCGTATAGTAAGAGTAAGCATCTTGATTTTCTAAATTTTTTTTATTTTTTCTCAAAAAAATTGATGTAAAACTTAACAATAATTTATCAACTAACTCTGTGAAACTTGCATAATTTCTTTTTAAAGGATGCGAAAGTCTAAAAGAAATTTTTAAATGGACAAAGTGTAGAATGTGTTGAAGGAAGTTTTAAATAAGACAACAATGTGCCAAGAACATAATATAATAAGGAATGTCTTATTTACATAACTACAAAATATAAATCACAATTTATCTATACAACATGTACAAAAATAATCTTATTAAAAACTATAAACTTGGGCCTTTATACAAATCCTTAATGTACAAAAATTACAAAATTTGGCTGTTTTGATTAGAACTGAAAGTTTGAAAATCATGTCATGTTACAACGCTTTTTATTATGTATAAATTAAATTCATAATCTCTCTTTTGGCAACAAATTACAAATTGGAATACAACTCGGAATAGCACCTTAGAAATAAATATTTAAAGCAATTCTACATGAATAACTATTATAAATCTATACTACAAAATTGCTATAAGATCATTGTGCAACAAGCGTCACTTATTACAAATCAATCAAGTAAATATGAGATTCATTGTCTAATGAAATGAATGCATGGCATCAAAAGGAGCCCAGGTAACTTAATCCAATATAGTACATTTGTACAAAGTTGTGGAATGTGTACTTCCAAATGCAAATATAAACAATTATGACAGCTCTTTAATTGACAAAGTTTGTGAGAACTGTATTTAAAAAAATCGTTAAATGAATGATTAAAGCATTATTAGACCTACATTCAAAGTCCTTGTCGGACTTAAGTCATTCATTCTATTGAAAGAAATATTTACTTATAAAGTACTTCACATGGAGTAACTTAACCAACAAAACTTAAATTAACACTAATTTATGTTGTTAAATAGGTCTCTCTAACAATAGTTGTTATAAGGCAAAGCGAATAAGATCATGTCTTCATAGATCTAAAATATCCCATTCAGATCTGTTTATTTAGGCATTACTAGCAAGTTCAAATATTATAGTTAGAAATCAGTTTAAGATACATAATTAGCCAAAAAGTTACTAAAAACGAGTTATAAAACATATTTCTCTTTGGTAACCTGTAATAAAATAAAGCATCAAAATTTTTAATTTAAAATTGTCTTCAGTAAAAATATATGCCTAATATATGCAAAAATATCTTTCTTGTTTTGAAAAATACTGTGTAAAATGCCTTATGCATATTCTTATTTATAATTATTAGTAAATTTCAAGGTTAGTATTTAAAACTACCTTCCGTAAAAAAATATATCCCAAATATGTACAATAATATGTTTTTTGAAAAAAAAAATACTGTGCACTAAGGCCTTCTGCTTATTCTTATTCGTTTCATTCAATAGTTTCAATTGTGCGTTGTTAAGTTGTAAAAAAGTTTATGAATACAAAATTTTATAAGCTCTAATATTAAGCCTAATACATAAGATACTTTTCAAGCCAAGTATATTAATTTGTCCACTGTGAATCAATTGCACAAAATTTGTACATAACTTTACGCCATAATCAAAAGATTATTGCAGTGCTTAAATGGTAAACACAATATACCGGTAGATTAAAAAGTGTACGTCACAAATAGTGAAGTAATCAAGTCTAAAATGTTAGACTGTCACAATTGGACAAACAAGACTACTTGTATAAAACTTGAGTTGTGCTTGGAATGTGCGTAGATAATTCAGCAGTCTTTTCAAAAGGCAAGATAGGCTGTGAAGGCACGTCCGTCTCTCGTTTTGGATTCAATCGACATCAAGCTCATCTATCTGAAAAATATATTAGAATTTAAGTAAAAATAACATGTAAGCATGTAAGCAGTACTGATAATAAAATAAAATAATCTTTTGCACTAAAAACAGATATCCAACAGGTTTTTGATTCTTAAACCACAGATTTTAATATTTTTTATCCTAGTTTAATAATTCTTTTGCGTTTTGAGGTTTTTTTTTAGATTTTTAGGGATGTCCGTACAGTTTTTCATAAAAGAAATAATTTAGACCTACAACATTAAGTTAACAGCACCTTATTTTGGCAAATATAGAAAATATTAGCAGCTAGACCTTTTCTGCTAGTGGAAATGTAAACCCATTCATTCAAAAAAATTTAAATAAAAGACCATTTTCAACAGATTTTACCGATATCTAAAAATTTTTATTTTTTGAAAATATGCCCATAGAATAGGAAAAAAGCATTTAAATTCTATGCCACATATTGTTGACTTTTAACTTCAAACATTTTTGTTAGCTACAATTTTAGTTGATGTTTAAATAACAATATGAATTAGAAATATGGAATTATGAGATGAATATTACCATTGACTATTGGATACTGAAGTTGGTATTAATAGTCAAAGATGTTACTCATACTATACTTAATTTTAAACTTAAAGATGGGCTAACGCATTTGGCACATCTTAAAAATTCTATGTATTTTCTTGGATTTCAGAATCAGTTTAAAGAAAAACTAAAATAACTCTCAAGTCATATAAATGAATTAATTAGGCTACTTTAAGATATTAAAAATATCAAAGTAAATTAGTAAATAAAACAACACTCTTATGAATTAACTTATTGATTGTTGTAAAGGCAATTTAATTCTTTGCTTTGAAAACAATCTCAAATTAAAGTGTATTTTACTAAGATTACTCCTACAGAATGATGTTTTTTCAAAGACACAGAAAAACTTAATTTTTTTCTCATTAAAGACATTTTCTTGTCATACTGGTTATGTCTAAAATACCTCAGGCAAATGAAATGTGATTTGTGAGATTATGAATATCGTTACATGCATACCACAGACAAGAACATAGATGATTTTTAAAGATGCACAGTCATAATGATGTGTTATGAAGTACATTCCCAAACACACTATGATATATACAAAAAGTACGAAATATTCTATAGAAGGTTAGTATTTGAAATAATTAATCTATATTATCAATACGCTACATAGCATAGAACTTTGTAAACAATAAGGCTTTTTTGTTTTAAGATTTAACCCCACATACTATGTACCAAAATGTTTGTCTAGGTGTGTAGATTTGCAAACTGACCTTACATTTTCAAAAAAGTACCTTGGCTCTGCCCTAGTGGCCAGTTCCCAAGTTATACTTATTTTTAGTAATGGATTACCAAAAATACCCTTTTATTTTGTTAACGTTATCAGAACTGTTTAAATGAATAAATAAAACAACTGTCCCACTGATTGAAATTATTATTATTATTGCACCTAATAACAGTGAGCATCACAAAATGAAAATAGTACCTTTGTAGTACACTTACTGAGAATACGATTACTTTTGTAGTCGTTGGAACCGTTAGAACGGGTGAGTGAAATAACGCTGAGTGTGTCTTCCTGTTAAAGGCGAGTATCACAAAATAGTAAGTATCTTGGTAATACGATTGTTTTTGTAATGTCATCTGAACTGTTAATATGAGTAGGTGAAACGCTGAAACGGAGATAACGCTGATCATGTTTTCTTATTAATTTCAACACTAACCAGCTGTAATGTCTTTGACGAGGAAGTAATAGGTGACAAAAATAATAGTATTATTTTATCTACTACCAAAAAGCTAAGGAACATTCCTGACTATTTTTTATGTATAACGGTATTTCCCATCTATAATGCTAAGAAAAAAATCCAATCCCTAAAATGGGAAATGGTTGTGTGTAATGATAGTAATTGTTTCAATTTCTGATCCCACTGAGAAATTGAAATTGTATTAACATAGCAGCTTACTTTAACTGACCAATTTCGTCCTACCTCATATCTCGAGCTCGTCCTGTGTGCGACTGAGCCGGTTGCTGTCTATCCGTCTCCGTTGGCTGCGTCTCACCGCGTCCGCCCGACGGTACGGCTCGCTCTTCAGTCCCAACAGTATGTCCTCCAAGGCACCGTTGTACACCTCGTCCTGGTGCAACAGCTTCTTCTCCTGTACCAGACGAGACTTGGTCTTCAGCTCGCTGATCACTGCGTCCTGGCAACCAACAGACTACCGTGCAACGCTACTAGCCACTTACCCTACCCCGGCCATGGTCGACACACTCAAACACTGATAATTGCTACTATTGTTAGTGAGATGGCCTACTATAATTTCATTTAGGTACTCAATTCGGCTTGGTTAAAATGTTGGCGTATTCGACAGAAAGTCATTTATATCAACTCAGTCTGTCAGTGGTTAAAATCAACATGGGAAAGGAATGTATAGTTTTAACCATGGAGTTGGTAGCGGTCGGGAGCAATTGACAAACATAGGGACCAATGGACAGACATTGAGAGCAAACGGATGATATCAAAAGCGATTAACAAATATCAGAACCAATAAAATGAAATTGGGAGCGATTGGAAGACACTGACCAAATTAACGGAAGAGTTCGTAGTGGTTGAGAGCAATTGGCAGACCTCTGTAGCGATCATAAGAGTCGGTAACCGTCGGAAAGAGCTGCAAACTTAGCGGTATTTTCGCTCAACTTGCAATAAAGGATATTTTTATAAAATGCACAGTAATCCAGCATTTTCAATAATCTGGCACCTCTAAAGTCTTAACAGAGCCGGATTAGTGAGTGTCACCTGTTATTTTGCTACGGGAAACACAGGTGATTATGTTCACAAAGAGAGTTTAAAAATAATTACCCTACTATAGGCACAACAGTTGTAAGTAGCCTATATTAAAACTTCAATTTCCTACATAATATTATCGACCATGGCCATTTCCTGAGATAAAAAGCAAATAAAATTGAAAACTAGACAATCTATAGCATAACTAACACAAACTAATAAACTCCTAAACTAATAATGAATTGAATAGTTTACTTTGACCTATCAATTGCTAATTTAACATAGCAAATTAGTAGGGGTGGGTGAATTCATTTTTCACTCAATTATTTTTTTTATTGAGAATTAGATCGATTTATTAAAAAAATATCGAGTCTAACAATAGACTATAAACAACAGTTTAACAGTCTTAAAGGAGCAGTGTTTGTCTGTATGCATTAATGAACATTTGATCTTATTGCTTTACTAAAGTGAATTTAACTGTTACTCTCATTACTTGAACTATACGATTTATAACAAAATTGCTTATCACAGCAACATTTAGTACCAAGTTAGTTCAACTTTTATAGAAATTTTAGTCAAATAAGGTTACATAATATATTATAACAACAGGCCAATTATCATCCCTCACCTATGAATCCAAAATCATAATAAATTAATCTCTTAAATTTATTGACTTGAAACTCAAGTGACAAAAGTATAAAAGTAAGGACCGGTTTGATTAAAAACTGAAAAACTTTATATAACAGTGAAAAAGGTAAACAATTTCCCTAATTGCCAAATTTTTTTATATTCTTGGAAATTAAAATAATAAACCTAAATAACTAAACACTAAAAACTAAAATAACAACGAAATAGTAAAAGAACTAAAGAAGCCAGAGACCTGAACTTTGTAGCTAGCTACGTGCAAGTCTAGTTGGTTACCAGTTACAGTCCATGCGAGTTATACACATTACCATGCTATTGATTAGTTATGTTATACTTTCTACATTGAAACACTGGATTAGAGTCAACAATAGAGAAATAGGTACAGAAACTTACTTGTTACTCATTAGGTACAAAGTTATTTAATGTAAAAAATGAATCTATAATTCAGTTAATCCAGTGTAAACAAAGTGTAAAAATAGATCTTAAATACAAGGTCACAAATCGTTAACACTTACACAAGAAGGAAACTGAAAGGAAAATAAACAGTAATTTCAACAGGATACAAGCTTACAAGGAATCATAAGAAACTACAAGCAATGTACAGCAAGCTAAGAAATTAATTACAAATTTTAAATTGTGTTAAACACTCATAAAATATTAGATACTGGTGTTCAAACTACTCCACAATATATAAAACAAACATACAACAGAATTCAATTTAAGACAAATGACTGACAACAACCACGGCGCAGGGACGCTTCCAGTGGGAAATCTTCAAGTAACTCTGTTGATAATAATGATGACATAGCAAAGTATAATAAAATTTCAAAAATTCATGAGGCAATAAAAAATAACTAATAAATGAGTATATCAATTAAATTTCAAAATTTACATTTAAATTTTTATCCATATAGAACTCAGCTATGTAGGCTATTTGTTTGTGGTTTGTACAGAATTTAAAATTAACCAAATATTATTTTTATTTTGAAGTTATTAATCTAGGTTTTTTTTAATATAAAGAAAACTGAGATTAATTTCCATAGATTTGAATTGCAGTTTTCAAATCGGAACTGAAAGTAAAAAAGTTCAATTCTGCTTAGAGGATTTTCAACTATGGTTTTAAATTATTTAGTTTTAAAATTAGGTAAATTGTTGTTCACAAGGGAAAAACACAATAAAAGGGATATCACGTTATGAAAGTTTAACATTATTTCACAACCTTAAAAACATTTGTGATGCCCATTTAAACCCATTTCAACTCAAATAAGTAAAATTGTTTGAAAAAAAAAGAGATTAAATTTTAAATTTGGTAAAGCATGATGCAATAAAAAAACTGTGTTACAAAAAAGTTAGGGTTTGTGAAAAGTGTAAACATAATTTGGAACCAGACCTCTAAAAGGGAAAGAAAACAAATGTAAATACATTGAAGAAATATATTGTAAAACCAAATTGATAACAAGACTGTAATATACAGCAATATAAGAAATAATTCAGTAAAATACTGATTTAAAATATAATTATCATGTATAGTATAAAAGGAGGGTTAAAACACACTTGATAAAGCTATAAAACTAAGAATGCAACATAATGAAGCAAGCAAAATACTAATTCATTGTGCGATCACTAGCAAATTAAGTAAGCATGCTAGCGAGTATAGCGAACAACAAGCATAAATACTCTCCTTAGCTCAGGTAGAAAGCTAATAATGAGTTACTAAGTCAGGAAATAGTGAGCACCATGCAGCAACATTTCACCGAGCTTCAAATGCCATATGTTACCTGCTGTCTTTTCTGATTGAGCTTGTTACGTTTGATGACTTCTTCGGAATTGTTGTTCTGCATGGACTGAGCAGCGGCCATTTCTAGCCTCCGCCTCTGTTCGTTCTCTTGTTCTGCCGCCTGAAAACCGTAAATGATGTTAAAAGTTAAAAAGCGGGGTAAATGAGCCGTAACAGGATATTTGGAGGTATTCACAAATTAAATTACCTTTAACAAAATTAGAAAATAAATTTATTAACGTTTCAGTCTAATATTAAAATATTTGGCATATACAATCTATAACATTGTAAATAAGAGGTGGTGTCTGTTTTTTTGTACTGAGTGAACGCAGAAACTATTGTTCTTATACAAACTTAAGTAACTTTACTAGATGCTTACAGCATAGTGTCTAACCAAATCCAACCTTTACCTTGAACGCACGGATGAACCTGACGAACAGTAAGAAGAACGTGTTGGCGTCCGATGTGCGAGTGGACTCTCCGAAGTACTCGAGACACTCCTTGAAGTTGTCCTGCGCAAGCTTGGTCTCCGCCTTGAGCCTCTTCAGTTTCTCCTCCGAGTTTGTGAGGAAGTCGGTGAGCACCGTGGCGTTGGCACGCTCCTTGCTGCACTCCTTGCGCACAGCCTCCATGCCTTTCTCCAGCTCTGCCACATCCGCCACTATTGTCTCGAGTGACGCTGGAAAAGAATTCCGGATTAGAATTGCCATTTTTGTAATTGGGTCTTGATCAACTCTATATTTATTTTGATAAGCCAGTGTTTGAACTTATCTCTCTCACAGGGAAGTCTGACTCTGAGACGCTAACTTCCAGGATAGAAACAAATTTATTGACCTGTAAATTTATTTAGTTTTATCTTCTTAGGTTGTAAGAATCTGATAGGAATATGGCACTCACCAATGTGCCTTGTGATGACATATTTGAGATATAAAAACAAAAAAATTCCAATCTACATTTGAATTAGCTATGAAGGGTTTGCCAAACCTGTCACAAACATCACTGTCTAACTAAATCACATTGACTGAGAATTCAAAACTATATTTACAAACACTGTAACAGGCATAAAGAATTATTCGGTAGGAGAAACTAATTTAGGTAGAACCCTTACCCATGGCTGCCTTGTCGACATGCAGCAGTTCTGTGTCAAAGTTCCGCAGCTCCGGGAACTTCTCTCTGATGGTGTCTACGATGAAATGCAGCAAGGAGCATCGCTTGTCACTGCTCTTTGTGTCACCTAATGTGTCTAGCGACTGCAGCTTAAAGCCGTAGGCTGGTCCTCGCTGTACAAACAACATCGTTGGTGACCAAAAAACAATTCAGACAAAATACGTTTGTTAACATCATTACCAGTGGAATAAAAAACCTAATTAATGAACAAGAGTAATTTAAAGATTTTTGCCTCTTGTACTTTTAAGTTCATTTATTACACTTATTGGTTAGTTATTTATAATTGGTGGTTATTTTAAATTGTGTAACTTGTGTGACAAAATTAAAATTATTTTAAATAAATATTTAGACCTAATTTGAAAAAATGAGAGGAGCTTTTGAACTTTAAAACCAAAAAAGAATCCTTAAACTACTTTTACACTTATTTTCATTAATTAACTAAACAAAAGCTTATTGTTGGAGTTTGGTTAACTGATCTACCTACAAAACAAGTGCCTTTTAAAAACATAATCTGATGACTAAAAAGACAAAAAATAATGAAGACACCAAAGACAAAAAATAATGAAGACAAAAATACTAAAGACTACAAATATACCTTGGCGCTGTTGAGGTAGTTGCCAAAAGCCAGAACAACTTCAAGCACTCGCCGCAGCTTCTGCGATGTTCGTACTGACGATGAGGCTGAGATGATTGCATGCACTTGCTGAAAATCACAGTTTAATTAATTATTAGGAACATTTTGATGAAAAACTAAATGGAACACTTTGAAATTAAAATTGAGCAGTCCTGTAATCTAATAAACTAACCCCTACATATTGTATGTCAAAATGCAGCAAAGATTCTGGATTTAAAAAAATTGATTTATAATAAGGATCTTTGTTTTTAGTTATTAGTTGATTGTGTTTATATCTTAAGTGCTGTTAGTAACAGTCATTGAGATGAATGATAAATAATTGATAGAATATTTTGTTTAAATGAAAAAGTTCTTGACTGTAACATCCCTGCGAATAAAGTGACGGAACACTGACTGAAACCAACTGAAGCAACTCTTTGACCAAGCTAAAGTAAACAACTGTAAACTTAAGCTTGTAATTTGACACATCAACAATTAGTGACAGGAACTAGCAGAGAAAATATAGTTTTGACAGTAGTAGCTCATCTTTCTTATGTCACATAGAAGTAAGGTACAGAGGAAACGAGCTTATCATTGATGTGCTTCCAGTTCTAGTATGTTGTGCTGGAAATATACTCGTGACGAGCAAAAAAGAGCCAGAGCAGCGAGCAAAGTGCAGTAGTCCTATTGGACAGGGTCTTCCTCCTCCGTGAGTGTTGTAAGTACATAAGATCAGAGGCAGTGTTGGACTTTGCGCTAGACACCAGCGACTAGTGCTGGACCACTAAGTGTGTCATTTAATGTTTCCTCTGTAACCTACCTCTCCGTGGATTTTAGTGACAAATTTACATATGTACAGCCTACGATGTCTACTAGCTACATAGAACCACTCACCGGAGTAATTAGATGCACATTGTCCAGGAAGTTGCCCATGTACGCCATGATGGCCAGTTTGCTGGACAGCCGCTCCACCCTAGTAAGCTGCATAAGGAACCTGTCCTCCTCAGTCAACAAGCAAATGTCCTTCTTCTCCAGCTGGTACTCCCGGTACGCCTTGGCCTGGAGAAATACAAATAGAGTTCAAAAACTTCCAGTATGATCAAGTGCAGGAAGACATGATGATTTTCAATGTAAAACTGAAGAAGGTTGAATGAACCGGCTCGGGTTGTTTCTCCCGCTAAAGGTAAAATAAAAAAGTCAAGATTGTGATGGATGGCCGAGAGCTATTAGCGAGGCCAAAAACCTTCATAGGTTTGAGTGGCCTCATAAGTAAGGAACATTGCTATTTGAGTGCATTACACCAAAAACTGTACAAGAATAGATTAATATCAAGAAACTTGGAAACTAAACAATTAGGAAATGATTGTTTGTTGCTAAAAGCAGTCTTTCCTGTTTTGACTGTTAAAACTGGCATTTATATTTCTACAAATTTACCAACATTAATCACATTTAACCTCAAAAGTACTGAGTTTGAAAATACTTACAATGTACATTTAAGACCCATATAAAAATGTAGCTTATGATGAAATTTTAGAAATCTTAAAATTCCCATTTGATGCAACATACAGTAACTCAAGATACTTATTCACGTTATTGTGATTATCACTCACTTCTTGATCGGTGGGAACCATTCGTTGAAGCAGTTCGACGTTTTCCAGAGAAACTTGTTTCAAATCTAGAGCGTTAACGGCTGCAATCACTTTATCAACTGGCATCTCTATCTTCCGCCTAGAGATGGCTGTGAAAGGAAATGAACAAGATTAAAAAGATAAACTACTACTTGAGTCCATCTAACCTGGACTAACTGGGACAGAATGTTCAGATCAGCTGATTGTTCAGATTAGCCAAGATAATTTAAAAACAATAGAACTTAAATCCGGGGTAGTTGTACGGAGCCACGAATAATGAAAACCACGGTACTGTATATCCAACATGGTATAACAAGACATAACAAACACATTAAAACAACGTAATCTTGTGTAAATAGACAATAATTAATTTCATTATTTGCAGGTTTACATCGAAATAATAACATTTCACAATCAATAATACTTGATCAAAATGATAGTCTAAGTCATAAATCTTGGTTCAAATACGAGTATAAAAAATGTATTGTTTAAAATCACAACGTTAACAAAAATTGAACATTAAATCACTTAACACATTCACTGCGGGCGTATCTGATCAGATACGGGCGAGCGGTGTTCAAACGTTTGTTCCAAATTCAAAATATCAACAACTAATCATTCTACTCTCACAAAAGTGTATATTTACCGATATTTCTCAGCCTAGTGTGCTCCAACAGCGAGACAGTCTCTGGTTTCTTGAACCGCTTGCTTGCTTGTGACGACAGCCCGAGCCCGTCCACCTCGTGAGAACCGTTGGTCAGCATGTTGCCGCCGCTGCCAGGCAGCTTGAACATCTCTTCGAACTCCGCAAAGTCTATTACCTTGTACAACTTGTCATCGTCCAACTCGTTGAACAGCGTTCCACGCACCTACACAAGTCGGACAACTAAGTAGGCCTAACTTCATAGTGTTTGAGTCAGAGTGTATTGGTAGACAGGTAAAGCAAATATAGCATATCAATAATAATAACCCATATCTAAAAGACATTAAATCTCCATTCTACCTTTGAAAACCCAAAATAAGCAATACAGAAGAGCCTCGATAACAAGACTCTCAAGGGGATTGTAAAATAAGACTTGTTATCAAGGGTGATTTGTTATTGAGGGTCTTGTTATCAAGGTTCCACTGTATTATGTTCAGTCAATTTTTGGTGACAGTGGATCAGACTTCATGGTATTGCCATGATTGTGGAAGACCACAATATTATTGCAAACACAATTTGCAATAATATTGTGGTTTTGCCACCATAGGGGGAGATTCTGGAACTGGTACCGAATCAGAGGTGATGAGAGCCAAAGATTCCGTTACACCATAGTTTTCTGGAATTGAGAACCAGAATCAGCCCACCCTATCAACAATTAAACTGCAAAATTAATGATTAGAGGTATTTTCACAGTTAACAAAAATAAAAGCCTATTCACAGTTTTAAGATTTAGAAAAATATGATTTTGACAGCAGCTCATTCTGCAAAGGGCTCATTAATTGTGAGTGGCCAATTCTCTTTGGACACAAAGTTACATACAGCTGATCCGTATGGTGGTATTATGGTGGGATGTCTACTTAAATATCCAAACAAAAGTGAAAAGCTGTCACAATCCAACAAACATTAATTTTATCATCTACATAGTAATAGGCAACCATGTTTCTTTAAAACCTTTTTTCTCAGCTCATGTGCATCGCAAGGAAAATCTACACATACTGTTAGAAAGATATTTGCCTTTTGATGTGCAGAATCCATTAATAAATTTAAATAGGCTCAAAAATAAGCACAAAAAATGAATTAAAATATTTTTTAAATTAACATGCGCCTTATGGGTTTGTCATGCTGGTGACAAAATAACATCAAAATATAAACAGAAAATCAAAACAAATAGAAGAAATTCCAATCATAGGATTTATTTACAGCGTGGGGTGAAAATGGAGAAGTTTGCAAAATACATATTATTGGTGGAGTTTTTGACCACGGGGCGACCTTTAGTAATCATAAAACAAAACATTTACCTGGTTTGGTTTGAGTGCGATCCAGTTGAGCGAAGGCAGCTTGTATTTGGTCTGGACTTTGCGTTTGATGGTCGTAGCATCCCCGGGTGGCAGCATCATGCCGACAGGTGGTGGCGGGGCAGGTGGGGAGAAGGCTTTACAAGGTGGTGGGGGAGGGGGAGGCGGTGAAATGACTGCTGGTGGGGGTGGCGGGGCAGGGGTGGAGTTGCTATTGCAGGAACTGGTGGAAGATGTCGAACAAGACGACAGAGCACTGCTGACACCTGAACAAAATAAAAAGTTTTAGATTTGTTTTTTGAAGAAAGTTAATATTGTACGATGGTTAAAGGTCAATAGAACACTAATGTTAATAAAAAACTGTTAGACTTGTTAAACAGTGATAATATACAACTTGAGAGTACGACTTGCGCAACAAGTCTCCTTTCTGTATCTTCATCTCTCTCTAAATTGCTTTGAACCGCAACTTATTATAGAGAGAAGAATAACTAAAACACAAACCTTCATTTACTACTTTCTTAGTTAATTTCTAAAAGTACTAGGGTTCTGTCGTAACTACTGGTAACAGCATATCGTACTAATTTTGTACCGAGAACTAATGTTAACGTGTGTTGGTTACCAATGTAACGTACCGAAACTAACCCTAAATTTTCTGTACTGCACCCCCTACAAAGTTTTTTTTGTCGCATACTAAAAACTGAGGACAAAATATAATGTACAACTTGTGTTCAAAGTGTCTTTTTTCAACTCGAACAAATTGACTCTCACTAAAAAATTCCCACTTTGACCACTTAGGTGAAATTACCATGTGATAAGAAAACATCTTGTCCATGTGGTTTACCAGAGTCAGGAGATGTCCTGGAGATGAGCTCCTGTATCTTGTCCTCCAGCATGCTGGACTGTCTGCTCTGGGAGTGGACCTGTTTCCTCAGGGTATGTACCTCTTCCTCCACCTTGCGCCGTCCCTCGTTGACCTCCTCCAGCTCTGACCTGGCCGCCCCCAGCGCCGCCTCCAGTGTGGCCAACTGCGCCAGGCTCTCCCTCTCCATCTCTGCCAGCCTGTCATGAGCCTGCGCCGACAAACATGTTATACACTCCGTAATAATGTCTTGTTGATCAACTTATCCATGTAATTTATATTTATAGCCTAAGGGTAAACCAAATAGGGTAGATTAATCTTGGTAAATGGCTCTAGGTCAGGATCTATATAAGTGGAAATTGGTTTTAGTCTATCTTCACTAAATTAATAGAAATGTTGAGTGTAAAAACTTGATAGATGTTAACAAAGGCCTTGGTACAGTTTTAACAACACTCACATGGCTAACTTCATCCTCGAGCTCGGCAACCCTCTCCAACGCTGTGGTTTTCGTCTCACTGTCTTCCATGAGAGCGGCCACATCAAACACATTGTCTAGGTAAGCAGAGAATTGTACCTGTAGAGGAAAACTCGTATCAAGTTTAAAAAAAATAGTTAAGTTGTTTTACAATGAGTCATTGTTTTGAAAACAAAATAACCAATTATCATGTGAAGTTTTGGAAAAATGCTCAACTCATTTTAGGGTTCTTTTGTCATATTGTTTGTATTTTGAACACAAAAACACAACTAAAGAGAATTGGGGAGAGTTATATGAGCTTTTTCTAAGCCACTACAAGCTAACAAAAATATTTACCGCAAGTCACATGTCTAAACATCAAACATGTCACATATCCGTAATCTTATTCATATTAGTTTGTATACAGGGTGTCCTGCAACCATATGAGCCAAGTTTGTCACGTTCAGCATGTCAAAAGAAACAAAAAATGTAATAACATGTGTCTTATCTCATTCAGTTTTCGGTCTATCTGGGTGTATTTGTGATTTTTACAAAAACATTCATAAGTCCTTAATTGCTTGAACTACAGTGTTGAAATTCTGTAAAATTTGTTATCCTATTGAGCACTATTTTTTTTGCAAAATATGAATAAAAACTCTTAAACAGTATTAAAAATGGCTGCTTTTTTAAATTTTGATGCCAAATTCCAAAAAAAAAATATTAATTTTACCAAATATTTGCAGAATACGTAAAATTTAGTAAGTTTTATGCAGATTACAACGATATCTTATAAGCCTAGTTTGGACAAAGAATAACTGAGAAATAAACTATTTTCTTGCCATTTAGTTTTTTTTTCCTTTTAAGTAATGTTAAATTGATGCAACTATTTTTTAACAGTGCTCAAACAGTTAAGGAGTTATGAATGTTTTTGTAAAAATCACAGGCAGACAGATAGAACGAAAACGGAATGAGAAAGGACACATGTTATATTACATTTTTGTTTCTTTTGACATGCTGAATAACGTGACAAGTTTGTTCATATGGTTGCAAGACACCCTGTAGGCTATATTACAGTATTTGGATGACAAAACATTCAGAACGCTAATTTTAAAGTTCATGTTTGTTGATTTTATAGTTTTAAACAAATACTTTATTTTATGTTTATTTGTCTTGTGGAGGAAAGCTATGGGATGGTTTCAGATATCTTTAGTTCTTGAACAAAATCAATTCACCAAACAAAACAGATTTGTATTGCACTTTTTAGTTGCTATATTCAAAACATGACTGATGTAAAAAGTCAAATTTAAATAAGCGTGTTTTAATTTGACTAAGATGAGCAAACAAAACTTAAGTCTAAGTTCTAGGTATTTTAGTAGGCAATAACTTTCTTATAAGTGCTATTCATTTGTAAAGCTATCCAGGCCAATGAAAAAGGCTAGGTTTAATCTGATTTATCGAAATCAGAATGTGTGGTGTAGGTTTATTTCTAACTCAATATTAATGTCTAAAATATCAAAACTCTCAAGGGCAAGTTCAATTCCCAAATTACTGGAAACTGGAGAGCTTTACTTAAAAATGTATAGATAGACTAATTCCATACCGTATACGCCCTCAGTTTCATTATTTGTATAGTTTTCAACCATACTATTGTAATGGAACTCAGCGAATATTGCTTGAGCTATGAGCATTGAGATTAAAAATTAGACTTGTTTACTTGATTCAGGCTCAAATCCAGTGAGAATATAATCTTACAAATAGTTCCTGGTATCTTAATTAAAACCCTTCATTCTCGAACAAACAACATTCAACATACACCCAACGAATGATAATTTGAATTAAAACCATTAAGAAATTTTGAATTTAAAATAAAACACCTAAACATAAATGGTTATTTAACAAGGAAATCTCAAAAGGTTGGTAGTTAAAAAAAAAATAATGAACATAAATGACATGAAAACATACACAACACCAAACACAGCCTGATTCCTAACACTAGTGAGTTTTGTCCGTCCCCTTACAATCGAGTTGAAAATGAGGAAATACACACCAAAGTTTTCCGCTCCCACCTCGTCCCGCAACATTCACAATTCACATAGAGTACCAACCGGAGTGTTAAAGAAGTGTTCCAGCATTTTCGACGTAAGGGGACCCCCTACAATGTATACCTTGAGATCTTCGCTCTCCGTGTTGCGCAACCTCTCCAGGTACTCGTCCAGGCCCAGTTTGGTAAACTCGTACTGGAGATGTACCCTGTAGTTCATGTCTTCCACGGAATGGACAATGATGTTGATGAACTGCATGCACGCCACCTGCTCGGCAAAACAACCATTAGTGAGTTTAAAGAACAATCTTAGGTGATGGTATAGAAAGTTGTATTCTAGTTGAAGAGCTGCAAGTTGTATCTAAAACATGAATATCCTTATTCAGTAACATATATTCAGCTTAATCAGCTTATTGGTAGGTAGGACTAACAATTTAGGTATTTAGTGGCTCAAGTCACTATTGCGACAGAATATGAAACCAAGGAAATGATGTCTTTGGTTTGCGTCCCAGTAACGCTAATTTAATTTTATAAGTAAAATTCATTTTTGTACTGCACCGGGTCACCCTTTGCTTTTGCTTGATATGTTCCATGGGCTTTGAGGTATGGACCTCAAAGCCCATGGAACATACCCGGTGCAGCGGGTAAATGCAAGGTGCATTTCCTCTGTAACGCACTTCTCTGTGACAACACTGAATAAATTGCAAAAAAAACTTCAAAGTGGGTACAATTTGAAACTTGTTCTTACCATGAACTCAATGTGAAACACTTCATAGTTGATGAAGTACTCCATGAGTGTCTGGAAGCGTCTCTTCTCATGGCAGACCTCCTTGAAGTTGTCAAAGGCGGACAAGATGATCTCGTGTCCTCCTTTGACTAGACAGATGGCCGCCAACAGCTCCAGAACCAGAGCTTTTGTCCTGAAAAAAAGCATAAGTTAGCCTTCCAGCAGTTGTGTTTTATGAATCTACCGATCTCTGTCAGTTAGAGTAAAACCGGACGCACGCAACATCCACTATGACAAGATGATTTGTGTTTGAGTTTAAAATGGAGAACCATGGTGTCTACTAAACCTAGTTTGAAAAATTCAAGGAGTTTTCCAGGAGAATTCAAGACAAATTCCTAAATTTTAAGAACTACTATCGGAACCCGTTCAACTAATCGCAACCCGCTAATAATAAATTATTATTACTATTAATGATTATTTTAATTTAAAACAAAACTTTTCCAAAGAAAAATATTTTATACAACAATATAAAACAGTATAACTAGTAGGTAAGGCGACACCAGCTATCATCTCCTGCGATCGTGGGAATGCTGGTGAGCATATCTTGCAGTTTCGTCAACACAGGCAACCGATCGTGGCAAAACAGGTTCGCATTTATGATTTCAGCGACACCGATAATCGTCTCCCGCGATCACGGCAATACCCGTGAGCATATCCTACGGTTTCGGCAACACCGATAATCGTCTCCCGCGATCGCGGCAATACCCGTGAGCATATCCTGCGGTTTGGGCAACACCAATAATTGTCTCCCGCGATCACGGCAATACCCGTGAGCATATCCTGCGGTTTCGGCGACACCGATAATCGTCTCCCGCGATCGCGGCAATACCCGTGACCATATCTCGCGGTTTCCGCGACACCGATAATCGTCTCCCGCGATCGCGGCAATACCCGTGAGCATATCCTGCGGTTTCGGCGACACCGATAATCGTCTCCCGCGATCGCGGCAATACCCGTGACCATATCTTGCGGTTTCGGCGACACCGATAATCGTCTCCCGCGATCGCGGCAATACCCGTGACCATATCTTGCGGTTTCGGCGACACCGAAAATCGTCTCCCGCGATCGCGGCAATACCCGTGAGAATATCTTGCGGTTTCGGCGACACCAATGATCGTCTCCCGCGATCGCGGCAATACCCGTGAGCATATCAGCTTTATTACCGAAGTCACAGGTGCTCTTGACAGATCACAGGCAGTAGCTGGTCTCTACTGTGATCTGTCAAAAGCATTTGACTGTGTAAACCATAGCCTGTTAATACAAAAACTAAACTTTTATGGTGTGTCAGGTATGGCTATAAAGTGGATAACCTCGTTTTTATCAACGCGGAAACAGTGTGTGGACCTACGGTTAATAAATCTGAAATCTGATTTCAAATTAGTCACAGAGGGTGTGCCACAAGGCTCAATACTGGGTCCACTACTGTTTTTGGTTTATATTAATGACCTACCTTTGATTTTAAAGTCAAAATCAGTAATGTTTGCTGATGACATTTCCATTATTTTCACTGATCATAGTAAAATTGTCATGCAGCAAACAGCTGAACAAGATTTCCTTCAGCTAGAAAAATGGTTTGAAGCAAATGGTTTGGCGTTAAATAAAGATAAATCTCTTCTGATGGAATTCCAAAAAAACTACCAGAAATCAGACTCATCAACAAAATTAGATTTGAACCTTTCTCTAAATTCAGTAAGCTCAGTTAAATTCTTAGGAATCACAGTGGATCAAAAATTGACTTGGCAAAATCATATTGGTGAAGTTGTAAAAAAATTAAATAAAGCACATTTTATGTTCATTATTTTATCTAAATCTGTTGACATATCCACTCTTATGATGGTTTATTACGGTTATGTCTATCACTTGTTTAATTATGGTGTGATCTTCTGGGGAAATTCAGATAGGAGGAAAAAAGTTTTTAAAATGCAGAAGAGAATTATCCGTATTATTTTTGGACTTAAAGGAAAAAAATCCTGTAAGAGTATTTTTAAAAATCACAAAATTCTTACTTTTCCCAGTATATACATATATAATTTAATTTTGTACATAAGACAACATTTATCAAATTTTCCAAGTAACTCTGATTTTCACAACTATAACACAAGACAAAAGAATAGCCTTACATACCCTAGACATAATACCTCCACCATTGAACATTCTCCATACTACTCTGGTATAAAATTGTATAATAGCCTGCCTAGCACCATAAAGGGTTTGACAGATTTTAAAAGATTTAAAACCAGTTTATTCAAATTGTTGTCAGATAAATGCTGCTACAAGATTGGGGACTTTTTCAATTAGCTATTAGTATGTCAAATCAATAGTTAGTTGTAATGGTTGAACAGTAAGTAGTTGTAGGGGAGAAAGTGTATATAGATTATAGCTCTTAATTAATTAGTGCTGTAAATTTGCCAAATGTATAGTTATGTTTATTCTTGACTTGACACAATTCATGTATAGAAATGTACTGTTTGAATAAAGGATTTTTTGATTTGATTTGATTTGATATCCAGCGGTTTCGGCAACACCGATAATCGTCTCCCACGATCGCGGCAATACCCGTGACCATATCTTGCGGTTTCGGCGACACCGAAAATCGTCTCCCACGATCGCCGCAATACCCGTGAGAATATCTTGCGGTTTCGGCGACACCGATGATCGTCTCCCGCGATCGCGGCAAAACCCGTGAGAATATCCAGCGGTTTCGGCAACACCGATAATCGTCTCCCACGATCGCGGCAAAACCCGTGAGAATATCTCGCGGTTTCGGCGACACCGATAATCGTCTCCCGCGATTTCGGCAACAAAAGCGGTAGTGTTTGGTTAGCCGACGATTCCGATGACCGGGCTGTGGATTCCCGGAGGTTCGGGTGGATTCCTGGAGTTTTCCAGGACATTTCAAGGTAAGATCAAATTCCCGGAGTTTTCCCGGTTTTCCCGAATTTCCCGGAGAGTAGACACCATGAGAACGAGTTGTGTTCTGTTCTTTTGGTTTGATCTGATTTCAAAGGAGGGTTTTCAACTGAGTAAGAGGAGGTTATCATGTGATTAGCAACATATACACAGAGAGCTGTCAGTAGCTATATAACGTTTGTCGTGAAACAAAAATATTCCAAATCTACATCAACAATAATACAAACTGTATCAGCAAACTGACACATACTTTCTACTATTAGTCTGTCAAAACCCCTTATAATAGGTAAGCAGTGGGAGTAACAATGATACATTATGGGTAAAATCATTAATTGCAATAACTTTTGAACACTACTTTTTACAGCATTGGAGGTTGTACCATTTTGTTTACAGTTAGGAGTTAGATGTGTTAAACTAGTGTCTAGTAGTTAAATTCTAAATAAATTTACTAAAATATCCGAGTAATTACCAAATTACCTCAAGCTCTTATGTATCAGACTAAGGGCGATGCTGTTTATTGCTTCCGTGTGCTGTATCACCATATTGAATCCGTACTGAAACAAAAAAAATAAACTAAGCACACGAGTTTGTGCAGAGTTACATACAAGAATAACAAACACACAACAACAATATTAACAACAAAGCTAAAATTAAATGAATGGAAAATTAAAATCACTTGTTATTGGGGCAAACTTAAGTTAAACTTTTAAAGACAAAATATGTATGCCAAAATGGTCTTTATTTAGAATACATATTCCTCTTAACCATTCAGATACGCCTGCTATCCCCCCAAAAAATCCTAAAAATCTATCTATGTTACACAGGCAATCAAGTCAAATCCAATCTATAAGCGCTTGTGTCGTTGTCTGCTCATAGTGGCAATCGACCCGTTTGGATGATATATTATGGGTGGCATGGTATCTCAGTTGGCTAAGGTGTTGCAGTGACGAGTGTTTTGTTGAGGTCTTTCTACATTCACGAATTCAAATTACCTAGATATGCAATCCATATTAAGCTTACTAATGTGTGGCTTAGCTGGCTGGAGTGGAGAGGACCACCTTGGATAAACGGTGTCCAGGTTGGGTGGAAGTTCACAACATTAGAGAGATCAATAAGGATTGCACACAACACCTGTGTTTTTTTCTTCTAATTTTTTCCATTAGTATAGATGTGGACACGATTTTTCCTTTTATGATTTTATTTAGATTTAAAATGGGACATAGTGTTGAAAAACATAGATTACAAAAGACATAAAGGACATAACTTAAAAAAAATGTATTAAGAGTAAAATTTACAAAAATATTGTGGTAGCAATACGTTATCATCTATGGGTTGAGTAAGATTCGGGTACCTTGTTGTTCATGATTGCCCGCAGACACATGATGCAGACGTGAATGTCATCTCGAGGGTCGCCCATCCGTAGTCTGGCTGCGTGACGCGAGCGTTTCCGCACGTCGGGGGAGTCGAGTGGCTCGAGCGGCGTCCGACAGTGGCTGCTGGGTAGAGTGGCTGACAGTAGAGAACACACTCCAGCACCGGCACTGCCTGTACAACACAATGTAATATTGGCAAGCAGCACCCACTATTCCGTTATCTAACATGTTTGCTTTGAATAAGGAATCTACAGGGTGAGCCAATGGCACCAATTTTCATTTTCTGACAGTTCTGTTACCGAAAGCGAATGGAAACCATAAGGTAAGCTTCTATGATCGAAATAGACTGTTGCGTCTTGAGCTTTGGGAGATGACCACGTTGTGTTGAACTGGTGAAAACACCAACCAATGTTTGGGTTAAATTTTAACCATCCACCTTTGATTTAGGCTAAAATCATCACCAACGACTGTTTTACTAGCCTTCTCAATTCAATTTAATAAATTTAAAAAATTCACTTGACCGCATTGTTTACTATTTGACGATTTCAAAATCTTCCAATGAACCTTCCTGCAACTATTGGTTAGCAAATCGTGTATTTCAATTTTCAGGTGAGTTTTAGGTTAACTACATTAATTGTGGTCAAAAGTGGTTATGGAATGCCCAAGTTTCCAGCGGTAGGCAGCAGATCAACGAATGAATTGGTCGTTCGTTACCATCAATAAGTTTGCATTCATAACATTACAATTTTCTTTTCCCTCAAACCTTGAATCCCATTGGTCCGTTACTTTACCACACTAGTGCTGTAAAGTAAGTTAAGAGTGCAGTAAAGTAAATCTTTACAATTCAAAAAATTTAATTGAAAAGGCTAGTTTAAACACGGATGTAGGTAATGGTGTACATTACTCAGCATTTAACTTGATAATTTTATCGTTTCTACAGAAGACTCCCTCCTATCCGGACTCCTCGGGACCAATGCCAGTCCGGATAAGGGGTTTTCCGGCTAAACCGACGTCCCCAAAAGCTCGTTAAAAACGGACTGTTTAGGCCTACTGTGATATTCGACTTAAATTTTGGAGAGCATTGTATTTAGACACGTGATCACTGGTCTCAAATCTTTCCCACGAGAACAGTCGTTTCACTACTGCCCACTTCCTGCCGATCTAGTCTGGTTAAACCAATGTGCTGATAAAAATTGTCCGATTAAAGAGATGTCATTTCCGCCGAGTGTAGTCCGGTTAAACCGATGTCCGGTTAAAAGGTGTACGGATAAGAGGGAGTCTACTGTAACTGTTATTTAGCAATCACAAAACAGTCAGCCGATATTTACCGTTGATAGAAGCGTTGATTCTCTCCTCGGATGGTGATCGGGACTCTTGCTCGTGCCGTAACATGATTAGTCGGAAGCTCAGGTAGTCCACAAGCGAATTCAGTCCTTGATTGTGTTCGTTGAGGAACTCTCGCACCCATCTACAACAGCAGAACATTACTGACCACTGACCAAGACTAAAACTGCTCGCCTTCAATCTGTAGGCTGTTGGTTTGATCCCAAATTAAGCCAAATCTGAGCCTTGATGCCATTTGCAATTTTTCATTCTTGTTATTGTTCTTGTCTACGCCAGTGTAATTTTCATAGAAGATGTTAGAGAGAGTGTTATTCAAATTATTTTTGGGAAAGCAGTCCAAACCAATGTTTTGGGAATGTGTCAGGAATTGAACCCTTTCCTTTTCACACCGAAGTCTGAGACGTTAACCACTAGGCTAGCACCACACTCAAATCATTGGGTCATTGGGTTATGAATTGAAAACATTATCTAATAAGAGTTCTAGATTATGGTAACAAGACCATATTTTGGACCACTTTCTAAAAAAATTCATAAATGCCAATTTTGGTACAAAACTGATTATTTTCACAAACAGTTTAACCCTTCAAAGCGTAAGTCTAAAACTTAATTCCAAAGTAGCTCTTTTTGGTGTAATTCTTTCAAACAAAATACTGATTCCCCTTAAAACTTATAGTTGTGTGGATTAAATAACAGCACAGTTAACAATTTGAAACAATTTTACTGTCCCTCAAAGCATGTTATTAAAACAACATTTTATCTTCTGAAGTCAAATGTCTAGATTAGAATGAGTACATTTAACCTAAAACTTAATGTAATAACTAATAAATAACCCGATAAAGGCCGATATACCATAAGGTTAGTTTTTGAGAGTCCGTACAGTTTCATAAAAATAATAATTTAAACACAAGCAGAACTTATTTGTAAGTTATTTCATTATCCTAGTCTAAGAGTTGATTTTTCCATCCACTTTTAAACTAAAAAGAAAATAATAGGTTTTTGGTTTGAAAACAATATTGTTACTAATGTTAAAATTAAGTATGTATAAAGAAAAACTAAAATCGTATTCACATCTTAATTTGAATAATATGAATGGGAAAATTAATAAAGACGTCTTTCATAATAACAGCAACTTGTTCTGTTACTAAGTTTATTGGTGTATAAAAACAAACTGCCATGTTTTCAAACTTTAAAGACCAATCTTATTTGCTATATCTTATCTCTATGGCCATTTTGCACACCAGTTAACATTTTATAACACATTCAGACTCATTCTGTCCTAACATAAATTTAGTTGCGACTTCATACTTCATATCTGCTTACTGACATTCTAATCTTATGCAAACATGAATATATTTTCTTGATTAGAAATAACTAAATTCATTGTGTAAAAATTTGTAAAAATTGCCATTTAAAAAATAAATAAATATTGAACCCAACTCAATACTGATGAATGAATCGTTCATAAATCAAATTTAAAACATCCAGTAAACTCTACAACATTCAATTTTAACGGTATAAAATGCCTTAATTTTAAGCCAAAAAGTCAATACATTCAAAAGCTAAAAAAACTTTACTAAATACTGACACATATATAAACTCAGAAAGAAACATGTTTGCTATAACGGAAGCTTTTTTTACAGTGTGTTTTAAAGCGATAAAAAAGGACTAAAAGTCACATTATTAGTACAAGCTCAATTTCTTGAACATACTTGACATTTTTTATTATCTTTGAAAGTTGAATAGATAAATCTTTGTCAATTTATTTAGCTGTAGATAATAAGAAATACCCCCGCCGCAGCAAACATGCCGACTAAGCGAATTTCCATTTGTCTGAATTGATTTTCAGTTAAATATATTAACATTAGGTTTAACGAGTACCTAGGTTTGCTGTTACAAGGAAACTAATAAAGTGTGTTTTTGAGTAAAATATTGATAGCTTAGTACAAAATAAATAAATTTGCCAAGTATTATCAAAATATATCCATAAACAAGCGAACTACAACATTTGACAATATTCTCCATAAAAATAATATGGGAATTTTAAATTTACAATTTTTTTAATTTTCTCCGTTACTAATAATCGAACAAAAATACTTTTATATACTAAATTATTTGTTTTTTTAAGCTCTTTAAAAAGGTCTAAAGAGAAATCGGGAAATTTTGTGTTTTGAGGGTCAAAAGTGAGAAAAACCTATTTTTAACCCATAAAACCCCCCGTAAAGCCCCGTTCCCATGGTCCGATCGTTCTGGTTCGCGAACTCATTCAAGTTTATCCCCCTTTACACCTTTAAACCAAATTTCATCAAAATCGGACAAAAATTACTCAAGTTATCGCGTTCACGGACGTATATATATATATATATATATAAGTCTATATATAAAAATTTGAACGAATGGTGTTTTTGGCCTCTGAGGACATCAAAATGAAAAAGTAAATCGGTCCCGGGTCTAGGTCTTACCGTGCCACCTACGGTAATAGCTACTTCCCTATAGGGAAATTCGCTAAAACATCACTACTTTTACAACGAACATCCTGAAAACATATCATTATTCACAATAACACTCATGATAATTTTTGACAATCAAAGTCAGAAGTCGGGTGTCTCGAGCGTATTTACTTAATCTTTAGTTATACAACAATCGGGCTAGCGATAATTACTTCCACTTATTCGTGGTAACCAGTAAATTCCACTATGGATGGAAGAATTGCCAACGAGGAGGGGAGTTGTTATGTCAGTTACGGCCCATTGAGCGAGTAAGCTGAACGTTGTAAATACCTGAATTATGAATTAAAGAATTAGCTCGTATTTCACCAGGTTTAAGTCATGATTGTACAAGTTTTAACGACTCCTCTTATACTCACTCTATGTGGTTAGTCCTCAGAGAAATTTCCAAATCTTTCAGGACTTGTGTAGATGTTGCGTCCCCAACTATCTTTCGTTTCTGCAACAGTAAAAACTGAGTTATTTGTAGTTTATAAAACAGCTTTCCAAATAAATTTTGTGACCAAATATTTCACCTTGGGGAATTTAAAAGAGAAATTTACTTAATTTATTTATTACTATCGACTATTATTAGATAAAAAGTACATTCATATGAAAAAAATCATCTACTGTGCCTGTAGTTAATGACATTTTACAACAAAATCTAACGTATGACCAAATTCTACCTCAAAACTTCAAATTTGGTTGTAACTCTTCCCTCTAAATGCTTTAAAAAGATCATTACAGTTTATGTCAACTTGTTTAAGTCTGTTCACAAAATTAAGGCCCTTTAAGGGGAAGGTTTGCTGGGTTCCCCAACTACTTTTTAAGCTTATTTATATATCAGCTTATAAGCTGTTGTCTGCTTTTTCAAAGTTAGAGTGAGGTGGAGGGGGTGGAATCGCTTCCCCTCAAAAGGCCTAAATTTTGTCAACGGAGTATAAAGGTTTAATCAAATTTTATTCATGTAAATACATACTTAAAACAATGAATTAACCTTACAAAGTATATATCTTGGGCACGTTTTTCACGTTAACAATTAGTAGTTCAATTAACTTCATCGTGTTTTTTAGAAAACATACATCTTTTAAAGTACAAATTATTCCACACATCAATATCAGAGTTTCATTTACGTCAATGGCTTTGATGGACAGAAGACACTCTGTTGTAAAGACTGTCAAAATATTTATAAACAGGTCATGAACAGACCCTGAAGCGTTAGGTTACATGAACATTCAGATCTCACATTGACTTGGCTGAATCAGTCAATTAAACGGCTAATTGGCACAATTAGCCGGAACAGTAGAAACGGTTGTGCATCCTACTGTTCCATCACCGTTTCACTATTTCTAAATGGTGTGAGAAGTCATTTACAGTTGCTACTAACCAGATGTGGACCATTAATCTGCTTTTTCTTAACTCCAACAAGAGTAGAGATAAGTAAATATTTTAAAACACATGACAAATGTCAGTCACGTAAAATAGGATAGTAAATATGAATTAAAAATAAAATATGAGATTTTAATGAGTAAGAAATTACTAGTGGAATAAAAATATGCTATTTCTGGACTAGGATTTTAAATCAGTTTGTGTCAGACATCTGTATAAAATCTGAAGGATAAATCCTTTTAAATGTGTTCAATTCATTGTAAAAAATTGGAAAGAGCTAATCAGCTCAAAGGTATTGAAGTTGGCAAAAAAATATTATTATTTTGTATTCTTTGTTCTAGTACAATTTACTGTTTTTTTTTTTTTTTATACAATTCAACCTATATGGTTATAAATTATGCCTGTCTACTACGATATATTTTAACTTTAATAATTTTTAAAATTCATTGTTGTAGCCCCGGAACTGTAATATATAAAATATCTGGTTTTACATTACCTTTATCAGTTCCAAAATTTTGGAACTGATAAAGGTAATGTAAAACCAGATATTTTAATAATTTTAATATATTAGCCTCCAAGAATATTTGTACTTAGTTACAAAAAAGGCTTAAATTTGTTTTTCAAATTAATAATTTTTACCAAAAATTGCTTATTTAAAGATGTTAACCAATCTTTATAAGGTATCAATGTTTTATAGGCATAGTTACCATAATTTACAGGGACTTGCGCTTATTTTGAAAAAATAAAACAAATTTCAAGAAGTTTTAAACTTGCTTTGCACAATTTTAAAACTTCCTAATTCTACAAAATAATTAACTCTTTTTTCTCACACTAAGCCTTTCTTTACCCGCTGGAACGATTCAATCAACGAGCGAGTCTCGCCTTCCTCCTTACAGGGGTCAAGAGAGGGAGGAACAATGAACATGTATCTGCCAAGAGCAGGGATCATCCCCTAGACACTAGGGTGGTTCCCCTATTTTCCCCTGGTTCCCCCTTGGCACATAATGTCCCCCAGCATTGATTCCTCTTTTATGGGCATTACTCTTCAATCACAATGCTTGCACTTGTGCTTTAAGACGCAATGTCAAGATGAGGAGGATTTTCAGTGTATAAGTGTCTTAGTTCAGTGTTTTATTTTGTAGTACCAGTATAATTTTTTTTTTTTTTTTTTTTTTTTTTTTGCTGTCCAAGGGCGCTATAGTCCTCGCCAGGCGTGTATCTAGTGCGGCCTTTGGCTGCCTCAACTTAGGGTGGCGAGAGTCAGGAGCCTATGATTTTTTTTAACATTACTTCAGGTTAGACCTAGGGGTTGAGGGCATTATCACTTCAATAAAATCTATTGGGCATTTGGTGGGATTTGAACCCGAAACCTCAGGAACCAAAGTTCTCACGCTCTAACCACTAGACCAGCTCGCTCCCACCAGTACCAGTATAATGTATAAATTAAAAATATAGATTGCAAATCAAATTTAAGCTCATTACTTGGAAAGGTATAGGCCTACTGAAACTGTATTTTTACAGACTACAAAAAAAAGTCTAGTTTAGTGGAAAAATTGAGGAACATTTCTCACTAAGCATGCTTTGGTCACACCATTTGTTAGCAGCTTCATCACAGTTTTGTGATTTAAATTTCAGTATGGTGTAAATGGGAGTCTTATCCTTATGTAAATACAGACATGTTTACAATTAGCCTATCTATTTTTAGGTTATCACCTAAAATTGAAAAATAAATATATTGTTGACCTATCTTAATTTTTTTCTACCAGTCACAAAGTATCCGGGAAATAAATATTGATATTTTTGGTACAGATAAAGATTCATTCAAACTAATCTTCTGTTCTAACTCCAACCTTTACTTAAAACTGTTGTAGCTTTAACACTGCTGATGTGTATTTCTTTTAATATTTCTTTAAAGACTAAATATGTCATGTTATGTATTTACAATAATACAAGCCTAAAAAAACTTTTAAAAATTGTATAAGGTCTATTAGACTAACCCCTGTTGAAACAAACAGAGTGCCAATTCACAATAAAAGACTTGTCTGGTAATATTAATATTAGTTGTACAGTGCAACTTACCAAATATACATAATCTAAATTTACTATGGTCTCAAGACCTATATAAAGTAAATAAGATAAATATAAATAAAAATGATCCACGTATCTTATTTAAATCAGTCCTGCTTCACCTGGGTTTTAGAGTCGAGCCATTCCACCTGATAATGGAGAGACCGTAAAGGATAATCATTCATAATTAATTTCATCAGATATTGCGTCTGACTGTCAAGAGTGTTCGAGACTATTGATAGTCGACTACATAGACGACACCAGTGCTCGATTTGTGAGGGATCGTGGCGGAACAGAGTTCCGGTACCTCTTCAGAAAGATAAAAATATTGGCATAAATAGGTACTGATCACATTAAATAGGTTACTGTTCCGGCACCTCATTTTTTACAAATCGGACACTGGACAGGACATTACTTATCGACTCACCCTAGAGCTCCGAGATGCCGTGGGGTCCAAGTATGTCCGCAGTTTGTTGAGATAGTGGGCCGGTGGGTCCTTGGCTTGTACTCTCTCCTGCAACAACAGAAGAGAGGTTAGACAAATTACACCTCACCAAAATAGTCTAAATATCAAGATGGTCAGCTGTGGCGGTTTCAAGGGTGTAGGCTACAGGGGCGAAAGCCAACCTTGGACCCTGGAAAAATACATTTTATCCTAGAAATGTAACTGAGGATTTTTGTCACAGTTCATGATGTTAAACTGGCTTTGGAAAATCACAAAACTGAGTTTAGAATACCAAATCTTACGCAGAAGGACCCGAGACCCCCTGCATTACAGAACTACCACTGATTGGTACCCTGAGAATTTCAGAAATAACTTACTAATACCCCCGCCGCAGCAAACCTGCAGACTAAGTGAATTTCAACTTGTCTGATTACATTTTTACTAAAATATTTCCATAAATAAGACATATTTATTCCCAATTTAAATAACATTAGATTTAACAAGTGCTTAGGTTTGCTGCTACGGGGAAGGTAAAAAGTGTTTTTTGACCATAATAGTATAGGATGAAATAAATAAATTTGCCAAATTTTATCAACATATATCCATAAACAAGTAAACTACAACAGTTTTCATTTTCTCCATAAAAATAACATGGGAATTTTAAATTACACTTTTTATTTATTTTCTCCGTGACCGTTAGGCCATACAACAGCGCTTCAATATACTAAATTATTTCTTTTTTTAAGCTCTACAAAATGGTTGAGAAAGAAATTGCAAATTTTTTTATTTTTAGGGTAAAAAATGGGAAAAACCCATTTTTACCCCATAAACCCCTGTTCCCATGGTCCGATTATGCTGGTTCGCGAACTCGGTTGAATAAACGTAGGTTTACAGGTTTGTAACAAATTTCATCAAAAAAGGATCATTTTTGTTCAAGTTATCGCGCTAACGGACACATATATAAATAAATATACATTTATATTAAAAATCAAAAACATATTTAACAAGGTACCCTTTTAGTAATTATTTTATTTTTATTAATTTGTAAAAAAAAAAAAATTACGAAAAGGGTACTTTGTTAAATATGTTTTTGATTTTTTATTATATTAGTAGCCCTAAACATGCAAGAAAATAATATATATATATATATATATGATTTTGAACGGATGGTGTTTTTGGTCTCTGGGGACCTCAAAACGAAAAATGAAATCAGTCCCGGGTCTAGGTCTTACTGAGACCTACGGTAATAGCTTATTCCCTAAATGGGAAATTCGCTAAAAGGACCTTAAAAGAATTAGTATATTTTCAAAACCACAGCACTACATAATAACAGAATTATTGACTAGAACAACAGCATTTTCTAATCTCGTTCCTGGTAGCGATAGAGTTGGAGAAAGTGCATACCGATATTGAAATATTAGTTGTTGGCGTGGTAATGCAATTGTGTTCTGTATTGTACTTTCACTGTCCTCATCCGACAACCAGGAAACACACTCAACCTGGGGCAGTGACAGAAATAAGCGGCTGTTGTTAAATACCCGTAAATAGCGAGCTAACCGATTAACAAATTAATGTGTACTTATATTTCATTGACTACCTTTGTCCTAAAAACTAGTGGTCAAAGAGTATCAACAAAACTCTGGTCTTATTTGGTGGAAATCTTAAATTTACTACTGATTGAACAGTGAACACCCTAAACTATCAAATATTTTATGACTACATATGCTTAATTTCTGATTTAACCACACAAGTTTATTTATGTTGGCGGCTATGAGAAAAAACAAACGCTATTAATCATAAACTGTTTAAAACCCCCAAGTCACAAATTTGTGCTATGAATCAAACCAGTTGAAAAAAAGAGGAGCTCCTCTTTTTTCAATTGAGTCCTTGAAACAAACAATAATAATTGTAAGACACTTGAAACCCCTACTAACTATCACTTTAATGTTTCCCTAGTCCAACAACGTCAATCTATATATAGGGTGTCCCACGAAGGGGTTTAAACGTTTGATTTTATATTACACGCCCATTCATGCACCGAACTTTTTGAAACTTTACACAGTTTACAAGGTAGGTTTTAAAAATATTCTGGAAAAATTTCAACTCCCTAACCTTCGTAGAAACAAAATGGCGGCATATTGAAAAAGTTACTTTAAAACATTAAAAAAGGTATTTTTGGTTTTATAAACTATTTGGTACTTCAGTATTAAACGGAGGCCACATTTTGTCAGCGCGCTGCGGCGGTTATGTTAGGTTGGGTTATCATAATAGAAAGTATCGTTCGATTCATAACGAAGCGAGGAAAGTCCTACACACATAATATTTACGATAACCCAACCTAACATAACCGCCGCAGCGCGCTGACAAAATGTGGCCTCCGTTTAATACTGAAGTACCAAATATTTTTATTGTTACTTTCCAAAGCATAAGACTTTAAAACAAGAAAAAATTAGAACATAGCCAAATGGAAAACTAAAAATTAATCAAATAACTAATAAATAATAATAATAAATAAATAACTAATAATAAATCATGAAAGTAGTTTTTATAGAAAGCACTTTGGTAAATTTGTCAATAAGCCGCCATTTTGTTTCTACTAAGGTTAGGGAGTTGAAATTTTTCCAGAATATTTTTAGAACCTACTTTGTAAACTGTGTAAAGTTTCAAAAGGTTCGGTGCATGAATGGGCACGTAATATAAAATCAAACGTTTAAACCCCTTCGTGGGACACCCTATATATAAAAGGCAAAGCCCTCACTGACTGACTGACTGACTGACTCACTCACTCACTCATCACTAATTCTCCCACTTCCCACTTACCTAGAGGCTGAAATTTGGTACACTGATCCTTTAGGCATTACATAGGAAAACTAAGTGGTTTTTATTCTGATCGGACTCTCGGGCTCCGCCCCAGTGGCTCTGGAGTTTCCCATGTTAACCTAATGAGTACTCATATTTAAATGGAATTAATGAATCTTAACAGCTGTTTCAATTAAACACGTTGGTTCTGTTCTATGATGTTAAATAGCATTAAAGTTACAAGGATTACCAACAGAGTGCAGCACTATTATTTTTTTTAATATTTTACAACAGCTAATTTTAAACCAAAAGTGAGTGAGCGTAGCGAACGAACTTCAATCTGGAGGCGAGTTAGCGTAGCAAACGAGCTAACCTGAAGGCAAGTGAGCGCAGCGAACGAGCTCCAACCAAGACGTGATTGAGCCATGCGAACAAGCTCACATATGAAGTTAAACGGGGCAAAGCCCGCGGGTACAGCTAGTTTATACTACAGTACTAGAGATAGTTTGATCAACATGAAGTATCAGAGGCATATCACATTAATAAAAGCTTTTTAAACATTCTTAATTTTAACTCCAATATATGAATACATGAATTAAAGCCAAAATCAATCTGCTTTACTAAGTCAAGGGCGTGACAGTCACACACACTAATTACAGTGCAAAAGTTGAGAACTGTTCACAGATGAGATAACAGAGGTGTGTTGTTCTCTGGTAATTAGCCTGGTATATGCGGCCAGTGTCTAGTGTCTGGCTACTTCTGCCCACTCGCCAGACAATTCCGCAGACAATGTCTGGTGTTTGTTGAAATCTCCGACCCCCAGTCTCTCTGGCCTAGTCAATCACACCCAATTAAAATACAGGCTTTGAGTATGTTTTGTAAAACACAGGCGTGATTTCACAAATACCTTCCAAAACCAAGACAATTTCATTAATTAGTTACATAAAATTTGGCAAACTATAAAAAGACCAATATGTGTGTTCGTAAAAACAATAACTTGAGTAATTTTGGTCCAACCTTTATGGATTTTGGCATGACCAAGAATAGAGGCATAAACTTGAATACCGTAAGTTCGCAAACGAGCAAGATCCGATCGTGGAAACAGGTTGTTATGGGGAATGACCCATTTTCAATACAACCATTCTTGTAGAGCTTAAAAACAAACAATTTTGTACATTGAATCTTCGATGCTCAATTAATTGTTACGGAGCAAATTCCCCAAAAAAACTGGACATTTAAAAGTCTTTTGTTATTCTTATGAGAAAAAGTAAACTATTGTAGTTTTCTTGTTGGTGGTTACATTTTTATCAAATTTGATACAATGATTTACTACAATTTATTGTATATTATTAAAATTGTACTAAAAAAAAACACTTTTAACTTCCCTGAATTGGTGAACCTGAGCAATTCGTTAAACCTAATATCATTCAATAGAGACTAAATCTGTCATGTTTAATCAAATATTTCAGTACAAATCCAATCAGTCAATCAGTCGAATTAAAATTTGCTAAGTCTGCAAATTTTGCTGCGGCAGGAATATTTACAATTAATTTGCATCCAAATATTCCAATATTTCATTGTATTTAGGACAAACTTCAACAAAGTTTTCACAATTAGTCAAACTGGTGATATTCGGCCACTCAACATTGACGAGTTGGAGGACTCGCAACATTCTAGGTCTCCACTTGTCTATACCACTTGTGTCAAGTGTCTGAGTCACATTCTCATATCAAATCTGACACTAACACTGCACAACTGACTCACAGTGGTTAAAACTGTATCGTGACAAATACCAATAACAGTCAACAGCCTTACTGGGAAATTATCAGTGGTAGATTTTCCAATGCCGGAACGTTTTCTACAATCTCGGGAAAAACACAGGTTGCCTATTATATATAGGATAGTTTTAAGAAGCAGACGCATTCTGGTCCACTACACCACTGGAAATACAGTTTCACAACGTTTATCTAAGCAAGATCATATTTTGATGGACCAGTAAACTGTAAATCATCATTAATTATAATTTTCATAGTTGGTATCCCAGAGGTTATGATAAAGAGTGTTCACCTCCTAATTAAATACTCTCGCCGAAGCATAAATACAGACTAAGCCAATTTCCTTTCTTATAGGATTTTCACACAAATATTTCATTTAAAAAGTCAGATTTGTTCCCGATTTAAATGACATTTAGTTTACCAAGTCAATGGGATATTGGGTTTGCTGCCACAGGGAAGGTGCTAAAATTTATCCATAATAAGAATCTCCATAAG